GGTCGCCTGTTTGGCAATTTAAGAAAAAACAGCAACTGGGAACCAACTTGCATCATTTCAATTCGCATAGGTCAAGTATTATACAAACATCATCCAGACCCAGCCCTCTTTACACACCACCTTTACCACTTGATAAATAAACTGCAAAAAGAGTCCTCTAGAAAATAAATACCTTGGTTTGAGAGAAACTATTATCAAGCTCAAAGTTACTGTAAAAGTGGGGGATACAGCTTTATTGTTCCTCTTTGCTTGCCTTGCAAGGGTAGTCTACTCAGGTTCTGCTTTTCGGTTTGAGGAAGTTTGGTCTATTTTTGCGTATTCTTGTATGGTAGTATTTTTTAATTTATACGTTTTTTTATTATATTATTTATGACTTTAAATGTATATTATGGATCCAGGAGTAGGTAAAATGCTGCTCCCAAGACCTGTCACTATAATTATGTTATTGACTATATATATATTCTTCTGGACCTGTCTGCTGCATTCGACACGGTGAATCATCAGATCCTCCTTCGCACTCTCCAAGAACTTGGAGTTTCAGGCTCTGCACTTTCCCTCCTCACCTCATACCTCAAAGACCGCACCTACAGGGTAACTTGGAGAGGGTCCGAGTCCGACCCTTGTCAATTAACTACAGGGGTCCCTCAGGGCTCTGTTCTTGGTCCCCTCCTCTTCTCCTTGTACACAAACTCGCTCGAATCTGTCATTAGCCCGCATGGTTTTTCATACCACTGCTACGCTGACGACACCCAATTAATTCTGTCCTTTCCCCGCTCAGAGACCCAGGTCGTCGCACGCATCTCTGCTTGTCTAGCTGACATCTCTCAGTGGATGTCTGCTCACCGCCTCAAGCTCAACCTTGACAAGACTGAACTGCTTTTCCTTCCGGGAAAAGATTGTCCCACTCTTGACTTGACAATCAACATCGGCACCTCTATTGTTTCCTCGACTCAGACTGCAAGGAATCTGGGTGTGATCCTAGATAACAAACTGTCCTTCACTGCAAACTTCGCTGCAACAACCCGCTGCTGCAGATAAACGCTTTGCAACATCAGGAGGATACGTCCCCTCCTGACCCAGAAAGCAACGCAGGTTCTGGCCCAGGCTCTCGTCATCTCACGCCTAGACTACTGCAACTCCCTCCTGGCTGGTCTACCTGCATGTACCATCCGACCTCTGCAGCTCATCCAGAATGCAGCGGCTCGTCTGGTCTTCAACCTTCATAAATTTTCCCACACCACGCCGCTCCTCCGCTCCCTTCACTGGCTTCCAGTAACTGCTAGAATCCACATCAAGACAATGGTACTTGCGTACCATGCTGTGAATGGATCTGGCCCTTCCTACATCCAGGACATGGTTAAACTGTACACCCCAGC